TGGCTGGATCCCACATGGCCAACTGCGCAGTTACTGTGGGTTGATGGTCCACGACTCAGTTGGTGTCAAACACGCTGGGCACATGTGCGTGTATGCCCAAAATCCCAAGAGGAGAATGGAGGAGACGGGACTGCAGTATGGGCCTCCCTCTGGGGTGATTTCTCACTTTCTCTCTCTCTGTGTCTCTCTCTGGTGACCACACATGCCCTATAGCAAAACTTAAAATTATTTTAATTCTCTTCAACTGAATAAGTATGCCCTTTCAGCCACTATAAGCAAAAGCCTCAGAATCTGTTCATTGCTACTAGCCATCACCAAAAAAAGGCAGGCAGGGCTTCCAGACATCACTGCCCTCTTCACTGGGGTGATGCTACTGAGCAGGGACTTCACGCTTAGCCCATGTCCTCGGCTGTCCTTGAACCAGAGATGCTGATCCTCCGCCTGCCCACGCCCCCTTCTTTGTGTCTGATGTCAGGTGCCCCCTCAGTGCGAGAGGCTATTTCTGTTTCTAGGCCCATTTCCAGAACCAGGGGTGTGTTCCTGAAGTCCAGACAACAGCAGTCCTATTAATTGACAGCTGCAGAGCACACAGAGCCCAAGCTGGGTAGAGGCTAACCGCCCAAGAACTGGCTAAGCCTTTCCCGCAGGCTGGCTGTCGCCCTATAGACCGTCTTGCTCTGGCCTCAGAAGCAGGTTCTCCTGCAGAGACAGTACACCTGCCCAATGCTGACAGCCAGCAGGCTTTGGAGGAGCCCAGACGTGGTGTCTGGCCTTGAGACGGGCCCTAGGAAAGGTCCCCATGCAGAGCGCCTGTGGTAGCCAGCTGGCCTAAAGCAACTCTTTGTTTACAGATGTACAGTTTATTTCAGTTAGAATTTCAAGTCCTAATGAAAAACGCCACCATTATTTCTTTAAATAACTCTTTAAAAACTCTGAGCGCCACTGCTGAGCATGTACTGTCAAGAGTTTACTTGTTTTATGTAACCCTGGTGACAGTGATCTGTGCATGAGTCCACTCAGGTCCTTACCAAAGCAGAAAGGCAGCTGTTTAATATATAACACAGGAGAAGAGTAGCAAAACTGGAAAAAAAAGCATACGAATGTTCACCATTTTAACTAGACTTTAAATGTTCACAGAGAATGAAACACACGTTTGTGAATTATCCTTTTGCTGATACAGAAAAAAAATTTTAAGAATTATTTTATTCATTATTATTATTATCTATTTTGACCAGAGAGAGACACAAAGAAAGAGAGAGCAAGCTGCCAGGCCGGGGCCTCAAACTGTGGTCGGCCCTGTGGGAATCCAGCACCCTAACCACCAGGCCACCTGCTGGCCCCAAGGGAAAAAAATTTAGAAAAGAAAAAAGCTACAGAATCTGGTCACTACTTTAATATTTCTGTCACTTTCTTTTATGTCACTTTTACTCTCTTTTAGGGAATTCAAAAAAAGGCTTCCATATCAAATGAACACTTTGGTATATAAAGAAAACAATGCTGCTTGAGTTGGCCACAAAACAGCAGGCATAAAATGGAGTTGTAAATGGAATTCATCGGGGACCAGAATTTGAGATGGCTTTAAAAAAAAAACTCAAACAATTTTTGTCACGTAAAAGCCCTGAATAATCACCTGAAGCAGTGGTTGGTCTACCAGCACCATAAACAGCAAGACAACTGTCAAAGTCCCAGGGTCAGCTATTCCCCTCAATGGAATCATGACATTCCTTGAATAATTCTAGAATCACATAAGTCTCCATTAATATAGAATCAAGCACCCCAGATAATATCTCGCAGTAAATCCATTGACTGAAAACCACTGTCAAGCATCACATTGTCTACTGGATGGCCCACAAAGTTTCCTTTCATTCTAAAAATAAAGATTCTACATGAGCATAAAATAAGCATAGGAAATGCATGTATACATGCTACACCACCCTCCATGGTCATGGCTGCTTTAGTAATAGTGATCTCAACTAGATACCAAAGCCAAAAGATCAATAATCTGGGAATGTCAAAAAATCTTCTGGGCAGTCAACTTGACAGATAAAATGTAAGACAGGCCTCACTAAATGAAAAACGCTCCATGTCATTCTTCTGGCCCCCTCAATTCTGACAGCCATCTGCCCACATTCTCTTCCTGGGCCATCTCCCTGTATCTCACTGGTGTGAAAAGAAAACACTACTGTTCTATCAGTAAGAAAAATCCTGGCTTACCCCAAGCTGTTAGACATAGTCATTCCTTGTTAAAAATACATTGGGTCATTAGGAAAGTCATTATACATTTTTGCATAGAAAACTCCGAAAAATACGCCAGGACTTTTCCTATGTCCTAATGATTTGGGAAGGCCAGCAGGTGGTATGGTCGTTAAAGCACTGGATTTCCACATGGCCAACCAAAGGCTGAGTCCTGGACCTAGGGGTTTGAAAATCATATGGGCACATGTGTGAGAGAGTCCAAAATCCTGGGAAGAGGGGGAATGAGAGAGGATTGTGGCATGGTCATCCCCACTGGGAGGTGATTTCTCACTTCCACTCTGTCTCTCTCCAGTGAACACATGTACTTTAAACAAAAATAAAAATAAATGTGTGCGTGTGTTTATAAAATTTGGGAGCCCCTCCCAAGTATTCCCATGTTTTCAGTCTACATGGAGCTTGTTCCTCAAAATAGCTCTAAAATATCCATACAGGGCTGGGTAGTGGCACAGCAATACAAAACGATGCTCTGGGAGGCTGACACATGGAAAGGTTCCACGTTCATGCCTGGAGACCTCCCTGACTATACCAGGAATGCCCATACCCATGATCCAGGGCTGGCTGAGGCTAGGGAGGATTCCAGCGTGGAGACCGTGTTGGGAGTGCTGCCTCTCTCTCCTTCATGTGCGCATGGGGTACAGAAATAAATACGTATGCATATACACTCTCCATACCACTCAGCTTTGGCATACAGTCAATCATAAGCCACTCTGCATTGTTGGCCGACTCAGTCACAAATGCTTGTCTCTTCCCCCCGAAGCCGGAGAAAGTTCCTTGAAGGCACAGACTGGGTGTTACATTAACACTGCCTATCTGACCCACAGAACACCTCTTCCCTTTGTTCTCAACTAATAGTCTTAGATTCACAGAAAGTGATCTGAAAGGGCCTTGAGAATCCCTCTAGTGTGAGCTCCAAATACAAGAGGAACCAGAAGACAGGCATTAACCTTTCACACCCGGCTCAATCAGGCAGATCTGAGTTCCAGTCCTGCCTCGGGTTATGTAGACCGTTTCTCTTCTGTAAAACAGATGAAAACCTACCTCACAAAGCTGTGATCATAGGAAATAATATTTTTTTAATTTAGACATTTCACTTTCTTTTGTTCTTGTGAAGATGATCTTTTTGAGATTTTCTTGCCGGTGAATAGTAATTACATTAAAACTCCAAAGGCACTACTTTTTTCCTACTATATTTTAAATTTTATGACTGGTGCCTATAGCAGTGGTCAGTATCTTCTCAGAGAGCCAAAAACTAACTATATAAAAAAAGCACTAACCTGTATTACGCTATTGAGTCCAGTAAATGGATTATTCTTTAGTTCCCCCAAGAACGCAGTCACTTCAGTCTTTCTCCTCTCACAAATACAACCTTTTCTTTACAACTAATAATAAAAGTTGAAAAAAAAATCACTACCTTTCTTCAACTGCAGGAATAAAATCAGCATCTTTACCAGGATAGTTCAGCAAAGCACAACAGATACAGAGACATGATTTGGAAGGTTCCAACATCTCTGCAGAGCCTTCTTTAAGACTTGTGGCATCCTCCAAGAAGAATTACCTTTCTATAACAAATTCTGGCAGAATGGAAACCAGAAACTCACTGGTGAGTGGTTAATGAAGTTAAATACTGCACTGTACTCTGTTCTATGCAAGCAAACAGTGACTAAGAGGATTAACTAGTTCTAACACCGGGTGTAGGTATCATTCAACAAGAAACAACTTCACTTACTACAAGCAGTAAATCTGTATTTACAGGGGCATAAATTTTGCTTTCGGAAACATGTTTTTCTTGAAAAAATATGTACTCCAGATGCCAAGACAAAAGTGGCATTTCTTTCCTTTCCAGGGAAAGGACTAATGGGGAAGAGGAGTAAGATCCCAGGCCCCTGAAAAGGACAGAGATTTCCGCTAAGGTAAGGTTAGTTCCTTCAAGGAATATTTAACCTCACAGCCAGACGGTTAACAATAACCAGCATCTTGTATCAGTTACACGAATGCCATCCAAGACAGTCTGGTACCCTGGGAAAGCACCGCGACAGAAATGCCTTCTGGCTTCAGCTGTCTCCTCCGCGGGCCTTGACGGCGCGTCCAAGGCGCCCAAACACCATCCACCAGGCTCCCTCCAGCGCCTCCTCCCGCAGCAAACCGCCAAGGCTCTCAGGCCAAACTCCAATGTCCCTGAATTTTAAACCGCGAAAATGTGAACCCCGCTAAGCCAATGGTAGGGCGCGTAACTTTTCCTTCTTTCCCTTTCCCGCACATTGGGCATGCCTGTCTGTCTCCCCTACCAATTTCTCGGGTCCACCGCGCGCTTCCCGCAGCCCATCCCGAGGGACAGAGGAGCACTGACCACAGTGAGGTCTGGTGAGTCCTAAAAGCTCAGCCGTTTCCCCAGTGCGGGACCTGAGTTCGCAGCAGCCCCCCGTAATTAGATGCAGATAGAACGATAAGAGACGGTGCCCCTCCCCACTGCATCCCACTTCTGCTGGAGGGATCAGAAAATCACGCAGCAGGCGTGTAGCTGGAACTCGGAGCCCTCCCACGGGGCGCCCAGGTCCGCCAAGCAGGCCGTCTACACTGCAGAACAAAGTTGCCGGGCCGAGGGGCCGTTAAGGGCGTGAGCTGCAACTCGGGACGAGCCTGCCCGGGAAGGGGCTAGGGAAGACGAAGGAGCCGCGCGCCGCCAGCCGCAGCCCGGCAGGCCTGCCCAGGAGGGGAATGGGCGCGGGGCCCGGAGCTCAACTTACATAACGCTTCAACTTTTTCTCCGGGGGGGACTTGCGGAGCCATCCGGAGCAGACCACTTCGCCACCGCTCATGGTGCGCGCCTCTCGGGCTCCCGGCCAGGCAGCTGAGGATCTCGCTCTCTGGGTGGCGCACTCTCGGCCGACCCGGCGGGTGGCCCGGCTCCGCGGCGCACTGGCTCGGTGCG